ACTGGAAAATGGCGGTTGCTGCACGATCTACGGGCTATTAATGCTCAAATGCAACTCATGGGATCTATTCAGAGAGGGTTGCCTTTGCTTTCTACTATCCCTAAAAATTGGCCAGTGATATGTATAGACATTAAAGATTGTTTCTTTTCCATCCCATTACATCCTCTAGATTCAGAACGTTTTGCTTTCACCTTGCCTTCGTGTAATCACAAGTAGCCTGATCAGAGGTTTGAGTGGGTGGTTCTGCCGCAGGACATGACAAATAGTCCTACCATGTGTCAAATGTTTGTCGGTGTGACTATTGCTCCAATCAGACAAAAATATCCAACATTAAGGTGTGTACATTATATGGATGATATTTTGTTAACAACAAAGACCCAAGGCATGTTGGAGGCCGCTTATACTGACTTAGTACATTTGCTGCAGTTAAAAGGCTTGCTTATTTCACCTGATGAGTTACAGATAGGGGACTCCATTAATTATCTTGGTGCTACTATCTCTTGTAAAGCTATCACACCCCAAAAGATAACTCTGAGGACTGATAAATTACAGACGCTAAATGATTTCCAAAATTATTGGGTGATATAAATTAGATTAAAAGCTACCTACATATTCCCAATGTTGAATTAAAACCTTTGTATAAAATTCTTAAAGGCGATTCAGATCTTACTTCCCCTCGACTTCTTACTGAGGAAGCCAGGTCAGTGTTGGTTAAAGTAAAAGAGGCTATACAACATGCTAGCCTTTGTAGGTTTCAAGAGGATAAACCTCTCCAACTATGTGTGCTTGCCACTGTGCGACAACCTACTGGAGTTTTGTGGCAAGATGGTCCTTTACTGTGGATACATCCACGTATGTCCCCTGGAAAATCCCTTGAGTATTATCCTGATGCAGTTGCTTCCTTAGCTATGTTAGGGATACAACAAAGTGTACAATTTTTTGGTTTCTCTCCAACGTCTGTGATTGTTCCTTATACATGTCAACAAATTCTGGTCTTATGTGCTAACTTGGATAATTGGGCTATATTACGATGCTCTTTTCCAGGAGAGATAGATAATCACTATCCATCACATCCTCTTATTACATTTGTTAAGGAACATCCTATCATTTTCCCTAAAATCACTTCTTCTACGCCTATTCCAGGAACTCCAAATATCTTTACAGATAGATCTAAGACTGGTATTGGAGCCTATGTGGTAAATGATCAGCCTCCTATCCAACATCAGTTTGCTCCTGGTAATCCACAATGGGTGGAGCTACAAATTGTCATAAAAGTTTTTGAACAATGTCCATTTCCTTTTAATTTAATCTCAAATTCTGTTTATGTAGTTCAAGCTTTAAAGGTGTTAGAAACAGTGGGTTCCATGCACACATCAGGAGTAATGTCTTCCCTTTTTCTCCATCTTCAAACATTGATTTGGAATCGTTCCGCCTGTTTTTACCCCTTGCATATTCGAGCCCACACAGGTTTACCGGGTGCTCTTTCTGCGGGCAATGCCCAGGCAGATCTTGCTACTCGTCCTTCTTGGGTGTTCCCTATTTCCTCCTTAGATCAAGCTAGAAACTTTCATAGTAAGTTTCATATTAATGCACGAGCACTTCAAAAACGCTTTACCATCTCCTGTGCTGATGCTCGACAGATTGTGTTGGATTGTCCTAATTGTGTGATTTTACATCATCCTCCCTCTATAGGCATAAATCCTCATGGTTTACGGCCTTTAACTATATGACAAATGGATGTTACTCATGTTCCTGACTTTGGTAAACTTAAATATGTCCATATATCTATAAATACTTGTTCTGACATTATCTATGCTTCTGCTTTGTCTAGAAAAAAAGCTGGAAATGTTATCACACATTGCTTGAAAGCTTGGGCAGCCTGGGGATTACCACAGTCCATTAAGACGGACAATGGTTCAGCATATACTGGGCGACAATTTTCTTCCTTTTGCAGCCAGATGGGTATCCAACTTGTCCATGGTTTACCTTACAACCCACAAGGCCAGGGTGTTGTAGAGCGCGCTCATAAGACTCTAAAAGAGATGTTACTAAAACAAAAAGGGGGAATTGGCTTAGGCCACTCCCCGAAAGAGCGCCTCTCCCTGGCTCTATTTACTATCAATTTTTTAAATCTGGACATTCAAGGGCGCTCTGCTGCAGATAGGCATTGTTCGCCCTCTGCCCCGAATTTTGGGTATGTTAAGTGGAAAGATGTCCTTTCCGGACAATGGTATGGGCCTGATCCCGTGCTGGCATGGGCACGAGGTTCTGTCTGTGTTTTCCCACAGGTCCGAGCGGAACCGGTGTGGATCCCTGAACGACTAACGAGAAAAGTCTCGAAGACAACTGACCAACAACGGGGGACCCTACAAGAGTCCAATGATGAGACCCTTCATTCTGCTGAGTATCCTGGCTCTATCACAGACGATGATGGTCCAGATGTTACCGATGCAGTGGTGGGCGGTAGCTCGGACATGGCCGATGCCGATGCCGGTCCATAAAAATTCTAGTGTCCTCCCCACTCTTTTTTCTACTTCATGTGAGATGTCTGCCCCTTGTGTCTCCCCTAGAGGAGACGGGGAACAGGTTTTCAACCTTTCTCGTGTTAATATCACGGAAACTTTCTGCTTCAGTTTCTTGAGAACCCGTTGTATTCGCTTACAGCGCAACAATTTGACCAATTGGGAGGACCCCTTACAGAACAGTAGGGTCTCATTGGGAATCTTGTTTGCGGTGCTTAGCCAAGTGAGTGCGGGGATGAAGGAGGGCTCAGGAGAGACTACAAATTCGACCGAAATGAATATCACCACTTTGGCTATAACTTCCCAGGTGTCACTCCCAGTGGCTTTTTCTAATGCTAGTAATGCCACTTATTCTAAGGCCTCTCCTTATTGTACCCCGTACTATTCTTTCCCCCCGACATTCACGCCTTGTCAAGATCATTCTTGGGAGAAGCGCCAAGTTGCTGTGGGTTTCTCTCTTTCCCCTTCTCTTAAAAGGTATTTGTATAATTCTTCCAAGGCTAATTCCACTACAGGAACAGGCTGGTCTTGGTTTCAATGGTTGATTTCCAATGAAAAGGGGGCCACAGCCGATGTCTCTGCTCTGGCTCAATTGAGAGGAGTCCAGAGTTGGCTGTTTAATGTGTCTGGCTCTGTACAGGACACTGATAATGGTAGGAGGCTTAAAAACATTTCATACAATTCTCAGGTGTCCAATGCTACACTGCCCCCTGCAGCAGTCTGTCTTCATTCTCCGTTTCTGTTCCTTTTGATCAATGATACCAATACTACAGGATCGGATATGACTGACTGTTCTAATTGTACATGTGTCTTGTCTGAGTGTTGGAATGGATCCTGGAGCACGGCAGTTGTTATGAAGATCCCGACTTTCGTCCCGATTCCGGTTACTGCGGATCCGGACTCCTTCCCTATTATTGAGGTGCTCAGGAGCCGTACGGATTTTGGAATCACGGCAGCTATTGTGACAGCGGTTGCAGTGTCTGCTGCTGCAGCGGTCACTGCTGGAGTGGCCATGGCTAGTCAAGTGCAGACTGCGGCCACGGTTAATCAGGTCATCCAACAAACTTCCAGCATTTTAGAGTCTCAAAGTAAAATCAATCAACATATTTTATCAGGAATTTTGGCCGTTAATCAAAGGGTGGATCTCCTCCAAGCTCAGATTGAGGAATTGTCAGACCTAGTACATTTGGGTTGTGTTGATCATCGTGCACATCTATGTATAACATCTCTCAGATTTAATGATTCCAGAAATACCTCTCAAATCATCGGACAGTACCTGGCCGGAAACTGGTCCATGGAAGCAGAGAAGTTGATCCAGACCCAACTGACACAAATTGCCATGTTGAACAACACTCGTGTGGACCCTGTGACATTGGGCCAATTTACGAATTGGCTGTCTTCTGCTTTTTCTTTCTTTAAGGAATGGGTGGGAGTAGGCATTTTTGGAGCGATGTGTTGTTTTGGGGTTGTCCTTTGTCTGTGGCTTTTCTGTCGCCTAAGAGCTCGTCATAGCCAAAAAAAGGCTATGATCTTCCAGGCTTTTAGTTTGGCTTGTGCAACTTAAGCAATAATTTCCCGGGTTTTGGCCATTGCACCCCAAGTTATCTTTGACATTGCACTGGGATTGGCATGCCCTCCTCTTCCTGCCTTCCCAGTTATGGAAGGCCCATGCACTCTGCAGGCCTTGTTGCCATTGCACGCAGGCGGGCTTCCATGCTGGTTCTGCACTTTATGCTTTGGACCCTTCGTTTTCTCAGGGGCTGAGAGATGGTGTTGCCACTTCCAACCTCATAGTCACTGACCGGCTACTTGTAAAATCCCCCTTCCTTTTCGCCGTCAGCACGATGCAGGATGCGAGGCAAGGCACTGCACTTGAGTGATCCGATCTCCGGACCTCAAGGGAAGCATGTCCTATTGCATACGGGTTTGACGTCCACGCCCCGTCCCACGAAAAAAGGCGCCGGCTGATATGGTGTCAGATCTAGGGAAGGCGCCTCCTTGGGACTGAGCCATACATTGCAGCCATGTTTGCACAGTGGGATAGGACCTCTACTTTCACCTGCATTGTTTTTTAAGAGATAAGGGGGAACTGTGGTGAGCCGTGTTGTAGACCGTTGCCGCCATTAGAAGATGGCGCCGGTCTCCGTTGTAGATCTTGGTAAACAACTCCTTATTAGGAAAAGTTGGTGCGCTGTCCCTCAACACCCTATGAGAAAAGTGGCAGCTTTGGATTGGACTTGAGTAAGCTTTATTAGGCTGTGTGTGGGTGCTTGGGGAGGAGCGCGCTTGAGAGAAAGCTAGAGTTAAGGCCTGAATAAACCGCTGAAAGAAGAATCCTGTGTCGTGTCTTCCTTGCTGGCGAGGGGGTGGCGACAGGTAAGGGTGGAGGAAGGGCTCTGGTGGCATTAACATTTTAATTCCCTGGAGGCAGCCTTCCACTTTCTGGACCCAAACTAGTGTCCATTTTGGTGATCTGACCTGATTACCTTTCTACTGCGACTATTATACTTGCTTCATTTCCCCCTCTAGTTTTTCTACTCCTATGGAAAAGGAAAAGGGCTTTGACCACTCTTTTTGCTTAGAGATGAGAGGGGACAATGTAGGGTAGCGCAAGCAGTTTGGAGTCCCCTTTTAGAAACTGGGTTGGTCCATGGGTCCATGGCAAAAGTTTGTTTCAGGAAGAACATGTTGTATGGTCATCTAAGGGTGGGTGCTTCTATGAGAGAGAAACAAAAAGACTTGAGTACTGAAATGAGATTGATACAAAACTTTCTGCTTTACCTTTGTTACTTGGGGCTAGATAATCAACTAGCATTGATGAAGCCTACCTGTGTAGGAGGTTAGGAAGATCTGTAGACCTTAAAAGGACTAAAAACTTTGACTTTGGCAGTTTCTCTTGAGAGTTATCAGGCATTCCTGCCTAAGAATCTCTCTTTTGTCACTTCCAGTCTTATTGGTTTTGCGGTGGGGGGGGGCTAACACAAGTGTACATCTTAAGTTACATTAAAATAACTTTTTTTTTTAATGTCCAGAATTGGCTGTTTTGGTTTTAACTATTTTTGCTCGATATTTAAGATCAAGTTGGCCCAAATGACCTTGTTCCTATCTACTGTTGAGAGTCAGCCTATTTCCCTTGGGGATCACTATCAGGAAACTGATGAGTAGCCTTTTAGCTCCACTAGTGCCATCCACCAGGATTAGTCAAGATCTTCCTGACCATGTGGCTTCCCTTGGAAGCATAATTAATGTCTCCCATTTCAAGTGGGCCTCCTCTTTTGCTATATATGAACTGATTGGCTTTCTTTTTCTAGAATCCCAGTAATCCCTCTTGTTGGAGGGGTCATGTGACATAGAGTTGCCATGCTCTAACAGAAGTTCCCTTTTCCCTGGGATCAAGCTGACTCAGAGGGCAAGAGTCAAATATTAGTTTTCTTGATCATTTTATTTTAACCTTGATTTTTAACCCTTAATTGTAAACATCTAGCAAGATAGCCTTACCAGTCTTAAAGTAAATGTAGTGAGCTTTAACAATAATTTTTATAACTTTACAGTAATTTTTACCCCTTTTATTTAATTGTGGTCTGTATGGTCTGTATTAGTACTGGAATTTCATATTATATACTATCTGTCTATAAATAATGGCTTAATATCTGAAATTAACTTAGGTTACTATATTGAAAGTTGTACTTTTGTAAGGCATTAACACATATCAGTTAAAGTTTATAAGAAAAGCTCAAAGTGAAATTAATGAGAATAAAAACATACTTAGTTTGTACATAATTTTAAACATTGACTGAGTTATACAATTATATTCTGTGCTTGAGATCACAGTAATTGACAATAAAATCAATCTTTGGAATATAACTTTAAGTGAGTGAAGTCTGCCCAATTTGAAGGCCATGTAGTAAGGTGGGAGGCACAGGTAGTAAGGTGGAGCTCTTCACAAGTCCTAGCTAAAATGTTCTAGTTTTGAAGTTGATCTTTGCCTTTTTTAAAAATTATTATTTTATAAAGTTTACATATATTGTTTCCTGGGTCTATATGAATGGTAGCTAACACAATATGCCATTGAATCTAAAACATGAATCAAAGAAAGGCTAGGAGAGCTTTTAACTTTATTTTTGTGGAAAAGTGGCAAAATGTTTTTATGTTTTACATTATTAACATTTAAACAGATCAGCCTTTCATTATCTTTTAGAAATACATTTATATTTTCACCCCAGTGTAAAAAATAACATAAGGTTTAGGTTCAGTTACAGAACATTAAATGATATAAATAAATCCCCCATAATTTTTTTATCATATAAGTCTAAAATTACTAGTTCAGACAACTTTAGTTTGGGGAACACCAGCTTGATAAAATATTCTTTTAAACCTTCTACCTTAAAGACTTGTATATTTTGAAGATATGAACACATTTAATATCCAAAGAAGAGTAATTGTACCACAATTACATTGATAGTTTTATATTAACCAGTTTAGATTCTGTAATGTAGTGCAGTACTCTAAAATAATAGTTGCTGTTTAGCCAGAGTTGTACAAACCCTAATTTTTTAAGACTAGTTTTTCTAGAGAATTAAACTTAACAGACACAACCTTAAGAATAGTGTTACCTTAGATTAGATAAAGGGAAGTGATGGGAGGGAAAGGGAAGGGATGTGGGGATAGGAAAGATAGTAGAATGAAACAGACATTATTACTTTATGTATAGGTGACTGCATGACCTATATGATTCTGCAACATGTACACTCAGAAAAATGAGAAATTATGTCCCATCTATGTATGACATATGAAAGTGCACAAATGTGTTCTCCTTTCATGTATAACTAATTGAAACAAATTAAAAAATTTTAAAAAAGAGTAAATTAATGTTTTAAAAAATCCTTGTCATTTTACATATATTAAACTTTGGTTTTTGTTAGTACATTAATATTTGACTTTAGAAATAAAGCTTGAATAGGTTTAACTGATTGTGTTAGTTACATATAAACAACTTAGTTCACACAAACCCTTTAAAATTTACCCTTCACTTACATATATCTTTTATAATTGAATTCGACCCCCTTGTTGTTTATGTAAATGTATTTCAACTTTAGCACATAAAGACTTTCTTACCTAGAAACAATTTCTTTTTTTACTAAGTACTTTTTATACCTAGAAGCTTTTAACTTTTTATCTGTTTGTTTACCTATTTATAAAAACATAAACAATAATCAAATATATCACCCATAAAATTTAAAAAATTAAGAGTATTTGGTACTATATATAATGTTAGCACTTTATCTTTGTAAATTAATCATATGTCTCTAACAAACACATGTATGATTAATCACAGATATGTCAAATCTAGTTTACTTATTTTTAAAAATCAAGATATCAGATAAATGTATTGAACAGCATTAGCCATTTCTTCCTTGATGAAGAAAAATTCTAGAAAATAATAGATGATAGACATTTTATAGACATCACCATTTTATCAGTCATTTGACCACCTTAAAACAAAAACTGTGAGTCAGTAACCTTTAAAGACATCTTTACTTTTATTTGTTTATACCTGTTGGGACTTTAAGTAACATTGTTTTTAGTGAAGACAAAAATCGTTTTTAAACTTTTTTTTTTAACCAAACAAAAGTAGACATGACAATCATTAGTGTACACACATACACAAAACAAAGATCAATTGCCATGCAGCATTTTTAAACCTATTAGATTGAGAGCTAACTCTTGTAAATTAATCACTGAGCAAAGTAGAGTGTAACAACAACAACAAAAACACTCTATAATTAGATAAAATAGGTCTAATGAGGGAAACATATTAACATAGGCACACTGGACCCAAATCAGAAACTCAAAGAATTAGAGTTAAAATAGAATTTAAAAAGCCTTCCTAGCCTCTGTCCTGATGTGGTCCTACTTATCTGAGGTGAAAAGAATTTGAGAAGAGAAATTAGGGTTTGTGGGCACTCAGAGAGAGGAGAATGTCTATTTTCTTAATTGTAAGTGAATATAGACAAAGGCCTTGTCCCATGGATTCCTGAAGGAATTTCCCAAAAAGGTATCAAGGGATCCTGCTTTCATGGTCTCCTTGGGAGAGCTCCTTTAGGTTGGGTCCTGTTCTAAACTCGTTTTTCTTGTCTCTTGGATATCAGCCACCAAAATTTTAGCCTAGCATTCTGCAGCTTTATAAGCTGGACTATCACAGTGAAAAACCTATTGGGGCCAATCCCCCCCCCCAAAAAAAAAAAAAAAAAACACAAAACAAAACAAAACAAAAAATGCCGAATGCTTTCTCTGATTTAAGGATGCTGTGCTGATTCATAATGTGCTGGGGATGGGGCATGGAAGGATTAGATGAACTCTAGATAGGGCAAAGGGGAAAAGGGGAGGGATGGAAAGGAAGTGGGTATTGTTATGGGGAGCTGCCTCAGAAAACACTCTAAGTCCCAATTAAAACAAAAGAGAGCTTTAGGTACGTGGCCAGGGACTGTCTTTTACCATACCTCCTCTCCTCAACTTCCCTGGCCTCAGTTGACAAGGACTTGGAGGTTGGACCTGGCTCTGAAGCCAACAAGTGGCTCCTATCTATCTCCACATGGTCATGAGCCCTGTGCTTGTGGTGTGGCTGCAGTGAAGCCTGGGGAGCCCAGGGCCTTTGGCCTTTTTAACCAGAACTTAGCTGATGCTTTTGTCCAGAGCCTGTGAGGCTGGAGATTTCTCTCTACTCTGGCCATCTGCTTTTCTCCACAGCTGTTTTTCTTTCTGCCATTGTTTATCTTGTCCATGTTCCTGTAAATTTAGGCTGATGGGATATTTTCATAGGAATAATAGCTCTTCCCCTTTGCTGAGTGTACCCTGAGCAAGTGGAATGTCCTGTAAACCTGAAAAGGAGACCATCCCTGTCTCAAGTCATAATACAGAAGTTTCAACAGCCACTGCTATGTTCTTTTATGTCTCTTTCCCCAGGTTGGGCAAAGGAGGTTGAAGGCAGGGCACAGTCCGAGTCATCTTCACTTACTTCTCTAAACCCCAGCAGCTTTTCTGGAAATTATCTTCTGACATAAGGCTGGTTTTTCTGACCCACAGTGGGATGTTCTGCAGATGCCTGGAACTGGGCTAAGAAACAGTGCTGGGCAAACTTTAGTTTTCTGGTGTCTTGCTATTCTTGCACACAGGAGGGTTATACCATGAACTTAGTCTTAGGCCAGTCGGACTCCTTATGTAACTGCATGGATACCTGCCTATGTAGAATTTCTTCCATTTACCTATCTCTGACAGACTAATTCCAGTAGCAAAATTATATAACAATTCAGAAAGTCATTCAGTGGCCTGATACAGTAAAACATCAGCTTTTCCTTAGGCAGAATTATATCTATTTGTGGCCCACTCAGCCAGGATTGTTTCCAAGAGTCTACAGGTGGGATCAATGCACTATTGTCTATGTGTTAAAGGGCCAGTGACATTCAGTTCAAAAAAAAAGAGACAACCAGAGTGGATCCCCCAACCAGGGGCAACAGAAGGAACCCCTTAAAAAAGACTAGCTGGGGAAACATCTCTTAGGTCCCCAGCTGCTATTTTACCAGAACTCTGACACCAATTGTGCCATAGATGTCCACAGATAGAGGGACCAGATGTTCCCCTGTAGGGGACCTGATGTGTAGACTCCAGGGTCTCAGTGTGCACACAGGAGGAGCTTGCCAGATGTCCACGTTGGCATGATTTCATTGCATTCATTTTCCTTTTCCCAGAGTAGACCCATGTTAGAAAAACCCACACTATTCATGAAGAGAAGACAAGAGGTCCTTGAAGCCAAGTATCCTTGGCAGCTCCTGGAAAGACCCATCAGACCTTTCCTTTACTTACAATTACCCTTCATCCAGGACAACCTGAGACAAATGCACTAATTTGTCTAATTCTCCAGACTCAGCTGTCAATGGATTAATCAGCACCTTGCATCCTCAGTGTGGAAGTGGGGTTGCTCTGAGTGCCAGGCCTGCCTGAGAAGGCTGGAGGGGCACTCTCAGTTCTCTTCATGGTGACTAAATCTGATAGCAAAATCTTGGTCCTTATCCCTAGTCCTGATCCAATAATGAGAACAAGGTTTTGAGAAAAATAAAAAGAAAGTTTTATTGCTTTGCTACCAAAAGAAAAATAGAGGGGACTCCTGTCTCAGAAGCTGTGATTCCAATGGCTAGTGAATAGAGGTTTCAAAGTAGTGACTCAAAGTCTACCCACAGGCTGTGTGCTGTCAGGAGTCATAATTCCCTTTTAGCCTTGAGAGAGATATTTTTTAGAACTTCCAGTGCCAGCTGTAAAGTCTGTATTTCTTGGTTCCTGTGGAGCATGAGCTGAAGGACATATAACCTGGCTTAAGTTCTGACGTAACACACAAAGTAGGTTAACCTAATTTTCCCCAGGGTTAGAGAAACATAAAGGGAAAACAGAAAGAAAAAACCAAGTCAGTTTTAAAATAAGTCTCAGTGGAAGAGAGCAAGGGTTATGTTCAAAGCATGAAGAGGACCCTGACACATTCCTTGGGAGAAGCAAATGGAACACCTGGCAGGTGGGAGTGGGTGGGGTTGATGAAGAATAGAAAGTTTAGATCAAGCTGGGCAATGTAGTGGATGCCAGTAGTCCCAGGGACACAGACATGTAGGACAGAAGCTCACAAGTTCAAGGTCAGCCTGGAGAACTTAGTGAAACCATGAAAGGTCAAAACAATAGAAAGAGTTGGGGATATAGCTAAGTTTTAAAGTGCCCTTTAGTTTAATTCCCAGTAATACCACCAACAAAAGAAAATTCAGATATAAGATCAAAGAATGCTTTACCATGAAGCCAGCATGTACTTAGAAGGGGACAGAAAAAGAGTGTGTGTTGGCTGGGGCTGAGGTCAGTCAGTCTCAATGGGGCTAGAGGCAGGAGGGAAATTAAAGCCAATATTAAGTTAACAAATATTTTGTTCTGTCCACTAAGAGCAAACTGTTCAATTATTTGTTTGTGACTGTTTGGATGGTTATAGTTAACATAGAGGTAATCATCAAAGTTATAATCAGCAGGGAGACTTTTTATATTTTTATTTTTTCTGAGTACTAGGGATTGAATCCAGGGGCACTTATCACTGAACCACATCCTCAGCCCCTTTCTACATTTATCTTAAACAGGGTTTCACCAAACTTTTTAGAGCCTCTCTAAGTTGTTGAACCTGGATTGGAATTCTTGATCTTCCTGCCTCAGCTTCCTGTTTTCTGTTGCAGAAAACAGACATTAAAAATGTCTGTTTTGTAATTGTAATCCCCTGCTGGGGTTACAACTGTGCACCACCATGCCCTAATCAGGAAGGGTGAATCTCTAATATGATGCTGTAGAAGAATAGCAAGGATGGGTCAATGAATTCAGTTGGTCATTTTTTAGGATTTAATACCTGCTGCATATTCTGCCACATTCCATGTTCTGTGTGTCTTTTCTGACCTAATTTTCCCCATGGTTAGAGAAACATAAAGGGAAAACAGAAAGAAAAACCAAGTCAGTTTATTTAGTCATTGCTCATAATCATTTTTTCCTTTTTTTATTATTATTAGTTGTTCAAAACATTACAAAGCTCTTGACATATCATATTTCATACATTTGATTCAAGTGGATTATGAACTCCCATTTTTACCCCGTATACAGATTGCAGAATCACATCGATTACACATCCACGTTTTTTGCTCATAATCTTACCATGTATTTCTTAGAATCGTTTTTTATATTTTTGCTTGATTGTACTACTTTTGAGTTTTGTATAACCTACTTTTCCCACTGCTATCCCATTAGGATTATGTTAAGACTTTCTTTCTTTTTATTTTTAACCATTTCTTTGTAGGGTTTCTTTAGTTTTAGTTTTCTGGTGTCTTGCTAATCTTGCACACTTGAATTTTCTTCTCAAACTACTATGGAACATGCAGACTATTACTTCTCCACTGTTCCAGTATTATGTTTAACATGTTTAAATCCACTTTGCTTCACTTTCTTATCAAAACAGTCAACTTGAACTCTGTTTAAAACATATGGTGCACATGTCCCCCCTTTATCAGGAGTCCTCTGTTCTTTCACTTTCATCAAAGCCAGGCCAGGCATACGTGACCTGTGAGATTCAAAAGGTTTTCTTTTTGATAAATGGACATTGGATTGTCTTGGTATCTTAGATTCCCATTGGGGATGTTTCTGGGTCATTAGATTTGCTGAATAAGTGAACCCTGCTTTATTTACATTCCATCTGGATGCTCCACTATCTATAAATACAGAAAACTTAATAAAATGCACATTCATTGCCCCTAAGAACAAAGTAAGTCCTAAAAGAACAGAATGATTAGAAGAGACTCAATCTCTACAATGCCATGGAAAGTCTGCTGAAATACTTATTATGTCATTTAGTTTTGATTTGGCTACAGATATCACAGCAATGTTGATGTGTCCTTTTATGTTGATTGACACTTTGTATCAATCTGTTCTATTTTTTCTACAACTCTTTTAACCTTATTTGCTTGGTGTGAATGCTGTCTGCCACATTTTCCCTATAAAGTAATTTTTTTCTTTGTCTTTGGATATTTTGGTAGGATTTTTTAAATAATCTATATAAACATTCATGTTTGATCAAGAAACTCTTCTTTCTTAGTATTTTTTATTTTTTAATTTTTTTTTTGTAGATGGACTTTATTTATTTATTTATTTATTTAATGTGGTGCTGAGAATTGAAACCATTTCCTCACACATGCTAGGCAAGCACTCTACTACTGAGCCCCAGCCCCAGCCCCTTAATAATTTTTATTTTTGTGGCTTGCTTTGGGGAATTTCGCCTCTGCCTGCCTTTTATTTAATGCAGACAGTGGCTCTCTAGAAATAGACCACAGTCCTGTAGGCATTCATTTTATTCTACCTGCAGCTCACAGACATTAACCTCATTTTAGTAAGCCTCTGGTTCATGGATGTGCACTTAAAATTTTAGAATCACCCTACTTTTCCACCATAATTTTCTTCTCTGAGAAATAGATAATTTATCTTATGATATATAAAATCACAATTAAAATGTATATATTCTCTGTTGCTACCTCAATTTTACAATTTATTTTATAAAATTGGAGTATAAAACTTTTTTGTGTACTTGTGACACTCTCCTCAGAGTTTGATGACAGAATATCACTGTTACAAAGTATTTTCTTGAATAATAAATCATTTCCATTATTTGGTGTGTCCCTCAGAAATCACTGGTTAAGAGTCAGTTCTCCTAATGCTCATTTCATCTTCAGCAAATGTACAAGCTCTGTGAATTATCAAATGGTCAATGTACTATTAATTTACCTATTCTTGTTTCAGGAACTGTTGACATTCAGGGATGTGGCCATTGATTTGTCTGAAGAGGAATGGGAATACCTGGAGCCTGCTCAGAGGAATTTATACAGAGATGTGATGTTAGAGAACTACAGAAACTTGGTCTTCTTGGGTGAGTAGAGCTACCCTTCAGAATTTCTAATGAATCATTATTCCTAATTGTATAATTTTTTCTTCTCACAGAATTTCTACTGGGAACTTCTTCTCTTCATGAATGAGTTTCAGATTCTTGCTTTCAAGAAAAAGGCTTGGGCAGTTTTTGTTACAGAGAAGAAAATGTTTAAGCCATTTCTTTTAGTTTTTAGTTCTTCCCTTTCTTGAAGTGATATATACTCTTCACTTAAAATTTGTGGTACTTACAGTAATTCAGAGATATAGAATGATGTGACCTACATGTCAAAATTCAATTTCTTCCATCTGTGGTACCAGAATAGAAGCATCAATACTCTCAGTGATAATTCCAACAAACAGTCAATTCAATTTGTAATGAACATTTGCCTCTAAGCTGTATTTGGACACCCTCCCCTGGTGCAAAGGAGAGAGCCTTGAGCTATATACCCAGATGGGCAGAAATTCATGAAACAGAGAACACAATTGAGAGGTCCAAAGGCAAGGAGGAAGCCAAATTCAAATATTGGTGGAGAAGTTATTATGCCACAGAATTGGTCTTTCAGGTGCTTAGGTTTAATTCTTGTGCTGTCCTAGAAAGACATCTACTGTCCTATGTTGAGCATGGGTCCCTCTTTAGTCTCCTCCTTCTCCCCAATTGATGTCTATGTTCAGTTAAATTAACAGTCCAAACACTCCCCTTTGCTTTTGAGGGTCAGCATGATCTGAAGGCATTTCCATTATTTGGTGTGTCCCTCCTAAATCTGTGCACATTTCTGGAGACCTCTAGGTGAATTCATTGTAATATATTAGTATCAGAAAGCAGTTTCTCTGATATCCTTAAACTGTTTTTATTAATTGAAATTCCCTTAGCAGAGCTCATTAGGTATACTTATAATGAATACTCTGTTTAACTTTTCTGCCATAGAGTGTATGTTGGTGTTTCACAATGACTGCTCATTTTAATTACAAGGACACAGGTGGAAACTACAGTTATGTAAAAGTATTGTAAACCATGCTTATTTAGAATTTTGTTGGTTAAATTTTTGTTTTCTTGTCTGTATTTTATTTTATACAGTAGATTTCAAGTTATAATGTAGGTTTCCTCACATCAGTTTAATTTTCCCATTTTTTAACCTACATTTTATAATTCTATGGCTATTTCCAATATTTCACAAATTAAGGAGAAGATGAAATTAAATTATGTCTGATTTTTGTTTCTATTGGCAATACAATTATATTTGCTTCTTTTTTATTTTATTTTTGTTTCTTTTGCCAATAAAATTACATTTGAGATAAAATACATTGTTATTTATTTGAGATAAAATACATTGTTAAGTTTTTCTTTTAAAGTAAGTTTCACATATGATAATCATTTTCAAACCAGTTTCTGATCACTTTTGTGGGTAATATTCTTATACACTTTTGCCTTCAAATTGCACCTTTAGATTTAGTCTCTGGCAATCTGCATACAGTTGTAATTTTTATCTGTTTCTTCTGCTTCTTATAATTCTTATCCATTCTTTTTTAATTGAGTTATCTTGTGTTTCATGTATTGTTATCATGGCATTAATTGATTCCTCTTTCACTTCCCTTCATTCTATGAGTATTTTGTCATTTACTTAGATATTTTAATAAAAATAATTTTAAGCTTACACTAGGTTTTTAACTAGCAACAAATTGACTTCAATTTCATAACAAAATACATATATTTATTTATGTATCCTTTGAAAATTATGTTATTGATGACACAATTATTTTTATATTCCATACATATTTAGAGGTTTATGATGATTTTTATGTTTTTATGTTTCAAATTCTATTGAAAAAGAGTTTTATGACTCATTAGTCCAGCAAAATTGAATTATATATTGGTATATGAATTTTCCTTAGTAAGAAAGCTTTAAAATTTCATATGCATTATGTTGCTGTGTACACTTATTTTATTTTTTTAATATGAGTAATTCACTTTAGTATTTTTTGAAAAAGAGGTCAAGTAGGCATAATGTTTGGGTGCCTTTATACATATTTAAAGTCTTTATTTTTACTGATGTTGAAGTATAGTATTTCTGATTGTAGTATTCTCAGTTGATAATTTTGTTTTGTCACCCCTTTGATGCTATTCCCCACTTTTTTTCTGTATTGCAAAGCTTCCATTAACAAATTGACTAATAATTATATTCAAGTATGCTTCTTAGTTGCACATTTTTCTTTTGGTGCTCTCAGGATTCTCTCTTTGTGACCACTGAATAATTGAGAACAACGAACTTTGAGTCTTTTTGTTTGTTTCTACTTAGACATAATTTAGATTCTTTAATTTGGACTTCTTTTTTTTGCTCCTATTAATAATTTCTCAGGCTGTTAAAATTGATACTGGAAATTGAACTCAGTTGCCTTTCTACCGCCCTTTGCCTCATCCCTTTTCATTTTTAATTTTTGACAGTCTCACTAACTTGCTGAAGCTGCCCTCAAACTTGTGATCTTTCTGGCTCAGCTGCCCAAGTTGACAGGATTATAGCTGTGCCCACCCCCCCTGACTCTCTCAGACACTATTTCTTAAGAAAGTCTTCAACTACATGATTTTTGCTTGTTTATAGTAATGACTTTTTGTCTGAATTTTTCTCAGTTTTCTGTGTTCTTGCTTAGTTCACTAAACTAAAATTATTTCAAAAGGTTATTTAGGTGCTTTGGATAATTCATAACTCTTACTTTCCTAATGTTCAATTACTTGTGTTTCACTTTTTTCCCATTGATTAGCCAAGTGTTCATTTTTCTTTGTGTATTGTACAATTTTAGATTTGTCCATATAAAAGCCAGCCAGTAGTAGATTAATAGTCATTTTGGAAAACAATATAAAAGTTAGTAAAGAACTGAAAAATAGAAAGCACAGTGCTACATGCTTGAAATCCCAAGTAATTGGGAAGACATGCAAGAGGCATGTCATACCATGTCTCAAACAATTTTAAAGGGCCTTGGATTGTAATTCATTGGTATAGCATCCTTGAGCTTTATCCTAAGAACCACACATAAAAAAATTAAAAGTGGAATGACACTATGATCCAGAAATGCAAGTTCTAAATAGATATCATAAGGAGAATAAATCAGTGTGTGGAAGAGAGAGTTCCACTACTGTTTCAGTGCAGACATTGTTTAGAGTAGTCAAGACATGGACTCCCACCTATGTGCCTATCAGGGGTTAGATGGGTAAAAAAGATGGTATTTATACATAATCAATTACCAATAGAAAAGAGATATCTTGTCAATTAAAGTGACAAGGGCTGAATATGCAGGACTTTGAATTACAGGAAATGAGGCAGCCACAGAAAGTAATTTGCAGCCTCATCTGACTCACATATGGAACTCAGAAGTACAGAGAGTAAAATGGTTACCAGCTCCTGTGTTTTCAGAGTGTTGGTGAAAGACCGCAATGTATTATTTTAAAGGATAAAAGAAGTATTGAGCCCCGAAACACTAAAATACTAAGCCACATCCCAAGCCCTTTTATTATTATTTTTTATTTTGATTCAGGGTCTTTCTAAGTCACTTACAGCATTACTTGTTTTCTCAGGTTGGATTTGAACTTGGGATCCTCCTGCCTCAGATTCCTGAGTTGTGTGGATTTGAGGCTTGTACCACCACACTGGCCAATGTATATATTTTTGATAGTAGAATGAATGCAATGTTTTCTATGAACTAAAATGATGATTATATAAAATGTTCCTTAGCTACAATTAGTCATGCCATCATTTATTTATATTTTCAAATGCCATGAAATTCTTAGAAAACACATGCAATTTAATTTGTAAATGAAATAAATTCATAAGTAACCAAAGTTATAAAAATTAAAAACTGAGTCATTTGTCTTGATCTCCATGTGTTGACTTTATCCAGGTAATACTGACATAGGATTGTGTGTGTGTGAGTGTGTATGATGTATGTTTACCACTAAAAAGATTTTTTCATATTTCTCCTTTGAGACCATACACTCTTTGCCCCTATTGAATGTCTGTGTTATTGTCATCCAACATCTCTTATATCTAGGTCTTTCTCATGATAGACAGAAAGTGGTTTTCAGGCAGTCCTCAAGAAAGCCAAAAATATTCACATTTTACATTTCCCTTTTCCTATTGAGAGAGAAGAAGGGAGTTGGTTAATTTTTACTAATTGTACAATGGTGAATTCTCAAGGCCTGTAGTGAATAATATACTTTCCTTTCCTCCGCTGTATTACACTTTTTAGTGATATACTCCTTTGGATACTGTGAATTTCCTCTGCTATAATACTCTCATTAATAGTATACTCATCTTAGACACTGGATAATTCTCACAAAGAAAATTTGTCTATCCATTGTTATTTAGTTCATATATTTATGGAGTAATGATGACTTTCAATCTGCCACCATATTAATGTCCTGACAGCTATAATTTTATGTTAGATTTGTAAAGTATATTCTCAGACCAATATGTAAAATAATTGTTATTTGCATTTTTTCAGCCATGACCTCTCATCATACTCAGAAAATTTTACCAGAACCCAGCAGACAGCATTTATTTATAAAAGTGATAAAGAGAAGATATGAATATTGCAAACTTGACCATTTACAACAAAAGAAAATACAGAACAGTGTAGGTAACAGTGAAGGTCAGAAATCATATTATAAAGGACAAGACCAATTAGAAGTGACTATTCTTAATAAAAATGTCCTTAATACCATCAACGGTCCTCAAGAAGATTTAATAGCTCACAAAAGTATTCAATTTATAACTGAAGGACAAGTTTCTGAAAGTGCTGATTTTGAAAATGTTTTTACAATCTCTCCATCATTCTGCAATGAACAAAAGATTTCTTCTTCTGCCCAAACATACACTTTTAATGATTGTGGAAAGGCCCCTATGTACTCCATACTACTTAATCAAAATTCAGATATAGGTTTCTGGAAAGCATGTAATACATGTGATGAAACAAGCAACACCTTCAGCCAGGTCTCTATGCTAAGCAATTACCAGTGCCCTTACATTGGAGAGAAAAAGCATGAATGTAGCAAAACTCATAACAACTTTAGCTTTGGTTGCAATAAAAGAGAACATCAGTGTGGTCATTGTGCACAGAACATTTACAAAAATGAGAAATGGGAGAATATCTTTTCTCAATGCCCAAATCACCATCCAAGTACTCAGTGCCAAGAGATGCCTTGCTATTGTGAGGAATATGAGAGACCTTCTTATCTAACTACAAGTCTTTCTCAGTATAGTGGAGCTCAACCTGGAAGGGAGCCTTACAAATTTAAGAAATGTGGTCAAGCAGGGAATTCCACACCACTTTTCAAACACCACAGGTACCATAACAGTGAACAACACTTCAAATTTAAAGAATGTGGCAAAACTTATAATCAAGAACAACCCTCTTTTAAGCACCACAGAATTCATAGTGGACAGAAATCCTACAAATGTGAAGAATGTGGCAAATCCTTTAATATTTGCTCAACAATTTCTAAAAACCTGAGATGGCATAGCAGTGAAGAAGCATACAAATGTAAGGAATGTGAAAAAAAACTTAAGAATTTTTCAACCCTTCCTCAATGCCAAAGTATTCCTATGGGAGAGAAGCCCCACATATGTGAAGAATGTGGGAAAAGTTTTACTAAAAGAGGACAACTTACTCAACACCAGAGAATACATATCACAGAGAAGCCCTACAAATGTGAAGAATGTGGGAAAGGATTTACTCGAAGAGCACAACTTACCCTACATCACAGTATTCATACTGGAGAGAAGCCCTACAAATGTAAGGAATGTAGCAAGGCTTTTAGGTGTAGTTCGTATCTTACTCAACATCAGAGAATTCATACTAGAGAGAAGCCCTATAGATGTAAAAAATGTGGGAAAGAATATAGACAAACTGCAGGTCTTTCTCAGCACCAGAGTACTCATACTGCAGAGAAACCCTATAAATGTAAAGAATGTGGGAAAGGATTTACTCGAAGAACACACCTTACTCTACACCACAGTATTCATACTGAAGAGAAACCCTACAAATGTAAGGAATGTAGCAAAGCTTTTAATCGAAGATCAAACCTTACACAACACCAGAGAATTCATACTGGAGAGAAGCCCTACAAATGTAAAGAATGTGGGAAAGAATATACTCAAAGAGCAGGTCTTACTCTACACCAGAGTACTCATACTGTAGAGAAGCCCTACAAATGTGAAGAATGTGGAAAAGGATTTGCTCAAAGAGTACACCTCACTCTACACCACAGTATTCATACTGGAGAGAAGCCCTACAAATGTAAGGAATGTGGCAAAGCTTTTAGGTGTAATTCATTTCTTACTCGACATCAGAGAATTCATACTGGAGAGAAGCCCTACAAGTGTAAAGAATGTGGGAAAGAATATACTCAAAGAGCAGGCCTTGCTCATCACCAGAGTATTCATACTGGAGAGAAGCCCTACAAATGTGAAAAATGTGGCAAACGATACACTCAAAGAGTAGGGCTTACTCAGCACCAGAGATTTCATACAGGAGAGAAGCCCTACAAATGTAATAAGTGTGTTAAAGCTTTTAGGTATAAATCAAGCCTTACCCAGCACCAGAGAATTCATAATGCAGAGATTCAAGTTGAAGAATGTCGGAAAGGTCTTTAGTATGGTTTACTCATCACCAGCCAATAATAATGAGGAGAGGTAGTACAAATGTAAAAACTGTTGCAGACCTTTTAGCAATGGCTCAAACATTGCTTATCACTGGAGAATTCATGTGCAAAGAATCCAGAACAGTGTAAATACTGTGCCCAAGCCTTTACACAAATTTCAAGTTTTCCTTAACATTAGAAACCTGATACCTATACGGAATTGGGAAAGATATTTGCCTGAAATATATGCCTTAAAAAACAGCAAAATATCTACAATAAAGAAAACATCTTTAGAAATATAAGAAATATAGCAAAGCCCTTATCTGTACTTTGTATCTTGATATATGTGAGAGGGAAATGAGAAAATTCTTTTAACTTTTCTTTAAAATTTGTTAAAAATCCCTAGGTGAGGTGGGAGAAATAAAGAAATTATCACAAGTACTATAAAATAGTGCAGAAAACTTGACTCTGGAAGGATGTAAATTTATTATAAATCAAAGACTTCTCAACATTTTCACTTTTGAAAACTGAAGAAAACAATTTAACTTAGATTTTTTTTAGAAGAAGAAGACTTGTTCCTAAGAGTTGTTAGTCTATAATTTCAAGACTTTACAGTGGATTATAAAATAGTTTATTCACATTGTGTATAAATTTTCCCACTAAATAAAAGTAAAAATTTTTAATGTTTAACATGTTAGGTGTTGAATCATGGTAATAAGTCAGAGATATTACTGTGTTCCTGTTTACTAAAGGTTCCATGCAACAGATAGTAAAAACATACTAAAATATCTCCATTATTTTTTTAGAAACATCAGCTCATTTGGAGAATAGTATTCGCATAAATCAGATCTTTATTTATTTTTTTCTGTTTGTAATTATGGTGATCTTAAGACAGTTATAGGTAAGATATAAGAACATGAAAATAAGCCCCAGATTTCTCTATCTTGAATTACTACTCTCAAATTTACCCTACACATTCTGGTCCCAGTAGTGGACACCTTTTTTTCCAGCAACTGAGGAGGCTGAGGCAAGAAGATCCCAAGTTCAAAGCCAGCCTCAGCAACTTAGCAAGGCCCCAAGAAATTTAATGAGACCCTATCTCAAAATAAAAAATAAAAAAGCACTGGGGATTGTGGCCCATTGTTTAAGCACCCCTGGATTCAATTCCTGGTACCTCCCAATTTTTTGTACCTTATACAATGAGAGAACTCCTAAGGGCCCTGTAATTTTGGAGAGCAACACAATTTCCCAACACAGGGTCTTTTAATACCCCAGAAACCAGGGGCCACCAGTGCAAATTTTGTGAAAGGAATGGCCATTGGTCAATCCCAATGGTTGCCCAGGAAGCCATGTGGTCAGCTGGACACTGACCCATCCTGGTGCCTGGCATGTGTGGTAGAAAACAACTAAAATACTGAAGAAGCCAACTCCACTATTGAAGACCCCAGGAGTCTAGACTCACATTAAAAATTTAGAAAAATACTTTTGCCCAAAACCAAATACCTATTTAGCCTTGAACAACCAGAAGGGAACTATAACCAGGAACAAGTGCCCAATAATTATGGTGAGGGGAAAAAGCCATACTCATAGAGCATTTTAGCCTCCCACATAATTTATATAATTTTATATATAATCTGACTTTGGCTACTTTTCACTCTATTCTATAATTTATCATGGTTATTTTACATTGGGGATTAAAAGATAGAAAGTATATGGCAAAGTCTCTCCAAACTCCTCTACCACTGAGTCCTTATGAGATACTCCAGATTACACCTGTCCCTTTTTAGGTCTTCACAGAAACAGAAGCACCTGCCACCACACAGGAAAAAAACAAAGTTCTTATTCAGATGAGACACTGGAGTATATACAAGTCATGTTCAAAAGTTTACCACAGCCAAAAATGTTGACACATGCCTGTAATTCCAGCAGCTCAGGAGGCTGAGGCAAAAGGATCTCTGCTGCCCCCAACCTGTGTGGGCACCTGAACTTAAGATCACTCGTGTGAATTTGTAGGGACACCAAATAAAAACACAGACACCCTTTACCTTTAAACAAGCTTTAGGACGGCTTCTTCACTATCGGCCTCAGGATCCCCAAAAGGGAAATCAAGAGAAAGTCACAAGAGTCTGGTGAGAGAGAACGAGTACCTTTGGAAGTGGGCTTTTATTGGGGGGATTCTTGTTCTTTAGAAAGTTCTATCCAAAAAGGCCAGAAGGGGCAGGGTTACAAGGGACAGGTGAGTGTAACTCAACCCCAGGGGTGACACCTACATCTAAAGACACACCTTTGCTAACTGAGTTGGGACAATGCCAAGTCACCACCAATGTAGTGATTGGTCAGAGCTTCTTGCTTTAGTACTGGAAGGTGTGGGTCATTCAGAGTGGCTTCCCACATATTTTCCCTTCTTAATTTGAAAAAGTAGGTGATGGGTCACTATTTCAAGTCCCCAAATTCTTGTTCTAAAGGCTCGTCATCCTTCAATTACAAGAGAGAATTAGTAGCAAAGAGAACAGTACAAGGATATACCATGCAGAACATGTAAGAATGTTTCCAGGATTAAATTCATTCAATTCTTTAAGTATTTGATTATCTAAAGAAGTAAGATCTGAAAAATCAATCTTACTTTTTTGTATATCTTGAATATGATGATGTAACACCAAAAGATTATTATTATAATTAGATTATAAAAAGATTATTGTTATTAATATAAATATAAATAAAATTATTAATATTAATATAAATAAAAGATCATTATTATAATTAGATTATAAAAAGATTATTGTTATTATTATTTTACCAAATACCTAACGTGGTTTTTAACCTCCCATTCCCATTGGGAAGCATTGTATTTGGCAGCAGTAACATACACATACTTATAGTTAACATGAGTCTTTCCTTGAATTTCAAAGCTGAAAGTCCATTACCAATATTTATGACTGTAGCCTCTGAGGCATTTAACTTAGCCTCAATCCTTTCATCAATATTTATTTGATTATGAAGAGCCTTGGAAGTATTCTAAGCTAAATTTTAAGAAAATTTGCATGTTGAATATTTTGAGATAGGGCCACTGAAGCTGTGACCCTTGAAGCCATAAAGGAAACTAAAGCAACAACTGCCACTATTACAGAGCCTAGGAGCACATTTAGGTCTCACTAGCTGGACATGTAAATTGTTGTAAGACTTGAAAACCAGCATCAGCATACCACAGCTCTAAAATATTAGCTGGCAATGAGACAAAAGAGGGCTGATGAGTGTCAGTGTTCCTTTCCCTCTATTATATCTGGTGATACAGTTTGTTAAATTACATTTATTACATGTTACAAGATATCTATCATCCTTTCTTTTAACTTTCACATTTCCAATAATTAAAATGTCAGGAGATTGAACACAGGCCCATAGGCCATAACAGGAACCCTCCTTACAGTTTTTGCCTACTAAATCTGGTAAAGGTTTGTCAGTAAAGAATTCTGAGGCAGCAATTAAGCGCCAAACATCTTTTTGAATGCCACCTTTGCTGAAGGTCAAGATGTTACAAATCCTCCAGGTGTCATGGTAATACCCTTGCACCATTGCCTTTTGTCAATTTTGGGAGAGCAGTCCAAAATATACCCACTATTTCTAGATAACTTATGCTGTACTGGAAAAGTATTTATACAATCCATCTTATGAAAGATGACAATTTCTATCACAGAATGGTTAGTAAAATGAAGTATTTGTGGACGTTCTTCTGAGATGACTGGTTTGTTATGAGAAAGCCCCATTTTAATAACTGATGTGATATAAGATTTTGAGTCTCCAGGAACAGTACAATTAGCTGGTCTAGGTCTCCCAAATGCTATCTTTTTCTCAAAGGACACTTTTAGACAGCAGCAAGTTTATCGTGGGACCAAAACAAAGGCAATTGAGCACTATAGCCAGAATAATTAAACCCAGTCACATGATTGGGAGTAATATGGGTGTCTGTAAATCCTCCCATCATATATGAGTCATTAGTAAATACTGAGATGGATTCTCCAGTCCACACTGCTGGGTGTACTAAAGGTGCATATGGAAAATATGTCCAATAGGTTTCTCCCTGATTCCCATTTACCTGACAGCTCAATAGAGCTAATATTGCAGCAAGCATCATCCTTAGAGATTTAATTTTTTCTTGTTGTTGAATCATTTGTTAAGCTTGCAGCATCAGATTCTTCAGCTCCTTCCATGACGGTAGCTTCACCATTGTGTCTCTCTGGGCCGTCTTCCTTCCTCTATTCCTTTGAGAATTCCTCCTGTTGGGGGCAGCCAGGTCTGGCATCTCTGGGTCAATCCTCAGTCGTTTGAATCTTGGTTCTAAGTCTTCCATGCCTTATGGTGCCTTCAGGTACCCAAATAGAATGGAAAGCACCTTCTGGGAAAATACAAGCATGACCTCTACCCCACATAATCACTGGATCTGGTCCTTTCCATTGGCCAGTCTGCAGATCTTTCCACCAAACTTGGCCTAACGGGCCTGTTGCTGTGGAAGACATGTGTCGCTCAGCTGCAGTGCAAACTTCTGAGTCACAATTTAGAAAATTTAAAACAAACAGAGCATCACTAAGGTTATATTGGGGAGTCCTAGTCCTATCTCCCCTTTAGTTTTTGTAATTGTAGCTTTTTCAAATTTGTAATACTTGGCAAGTAGCTATTGCTAATTTTCCTGGTCAGGTAGAGAGTCATTATCCTCATTATAAAATTATTCAATTTGCATTAGTAACTCTATTTATTTTTCCAAGGATTGCATGTGCAAAACGAATGGATGGTGCACTAACAATATTCCCTGATGGCTCAAGCTCAGGTACAAAACAAAACAAAAAAACGGATGGATTCTGAGTTCATTTGCCTTTGTGCAGATGTTAGTCCTACCCAATTACAGAGTTTTACACTCAACACGGCTTTAAAACAGATCCTCCAGCCTCAATTTCAGAGACTCCATTCTCAAGGGTGGTGTTTTAATTGTGGCAGGACTGGGCATTTGGCTCAGGACTGCGGGTCTCTGCGCAGTAGGGCAGAGACCTCTTGCAGTTTGCGCAAATTAGGCCTATGTTATCTGGGGGTGAAGCCAGAATTAGACAGGCAGTCAGTATAGATAGGTAAATCAAGTCAGTTTAGATCTAGGAGGCCAATTTTGAGTGAGTCTAGGAAGTTAGAGACAGTCCTCCTGAGGGATCTTATCAAGAACCTGCCCCAGCTCCAACCTGTGCCATGGTAACCTGTCCCAGGTATTTCCCCTCCCTACAGGGAGCTATAAGGCTGTTAATGTGTCCTTGGATACTCCACCCTGCCCTTCCCCCTTCATCCCACCTGGTTCCCACCTTTTGTCCCTCCCACTGAGTATTCCTGGGCCTAGTCACCTAGGCAGGAAAGAGAAAGATGAGGGGGAAAGGCAGGAGTACAAAGGAAACCTAGGACATATAAAAAGGGCAGAATACCTCATTTCTTGGGATACCAGAATACCAGCTAGGGCCCCCTTCTCCTTCACAGGAGAAGTCTATGTTATCCCTTATTAAATAAACCCTGATTTATATGCTTTCCTCAGCATGCTTCTATAAAGTTTGAACTTCAACATGTGGGGAAGCAGAACTTGTCACCCATAATCAGATAACCAGCATTATCAGGGGTATTGGACCATGAATCACAGTAGGAACTCACTGTAGTCCCATTTCAGG